TCCAGAAGAGCGAAGAGATAAAATATGTTTGATTAAAAAAAAGAATAGGGTCATTCTTTGCTCTTTCTTAGAAGCTGGCAGGTAGAAAAGGGAGTGGGGAAATGCCATGAGTTCCTGTAGAAATTATTACTTTCAGGAGGTGAAAATGCAACTTCTGAGTGGTTTGTAAGCTAAAAATGCATTAAACGTAAAAGGAAGTCATTTAGCAGTGCATCAAAGTTAAGATCTAATGCCCCTCTCCCCAAAAAGCATAGCAATTCAGGAATAAACCTAACAATACAGTGTACACTGAGATTCTGATTTCCCATTATACTATTTCAGTTTTATGCTTGTAGAAATTCTCTCATTTCAATGCAGCTCTGAATGCAGCCATCTGTCCTTACCAGAGAGGGTTGTGCAGGAGTATTTCAGGAGTCTTGGAGGAAAGTCTCATCTTAAGTATGCTGTAAATGTGCTGCGATATATGCCACAAGAGCCCCCTTTGAATTTACTAAGACTATACATTAGTAAAGAAAATAGAGTCTGGCTCAAGGTGGCAGACCAGAATTTTAATTCTTCTCCTTGGTTTATTTTATGAAGACAGCCTTGAAGGGAAGTTAGAGGCAGGGGAAAGTGCCTGATGGGGGTGCAGGCTGTCCCCTGAGCCTGGCGGTGACATCCCTACCTGCAGCTGGGTGAAATATGTGAGAGAGCTGGTGAGAAAAACAAGACGGACCCTTCAGCATCGCGGCCCGCCAGGGCTCGCTCCCCTCCGGAAGAGATGGGCTGTGGCAGCAATATTGCCTGTATAAGGAGAGGAAGAGTATTGCTAACACAGACAATAATCGGGGATTATTCTACATTACCAAAATAGTAATGGAAAGAAAGTGCAACTGCCTTTCTCTTGTGTCTCTCCCTATTGAAGGTGAGGGTAGAGAAGGCTCTCTCTCAGCGTCGCATTAACAGGGCTGCTGCCGACCCGAGGCTTTAATAATTCACACTGCCTCTTCACAGACAAAGAGGTCCTGACCCAGAATGGATCAAATGTTTTATTGTTTTGCTTTTTCAGGCATATTTTCTGAAGACTGTTAAAACTTTTCTTTTTTTTTTTTTGTTTTAAATGGGATGTATTTCATTTCTCTTTTACCATTCTCAGGGAAAATGTATCCCTTCTGTCCTTGCTTACAAGCAATTGTAACTTATACGACACTCTGAAAAAGTGAAAAATGTTATTGAAAATACTCTGCTTGGAAAAGATCTAAAGTCCCTCAGTACATTAGCAAACTCACCCACTCCCGGTCGACAGTGTGAAGTTGCCATGATGACTATAATTGTTAAATGGCAAAGGAAGCTGGAGATTGAAGAATTAGAAGGACGTTGTTAGCGAGGGCCATAGAAAAATAGCAGTCATTTCAAAACCCAGTGCCGTCCCAGCAGGGTGTTTCATGATAGTTAGAGCAGGTGACGAAGTTGTCCAGGCCCTCCGCTTCTTCATCAGTTAAAAAACCACCTTGTTAACTTGTTTGTCTGTTACAACCAGCAAACCTGATGCTTGGTTAGGTAAAACCTGCCCTGCACAGCTGCCATCTGTAGATATTTATAGGTGGCATGGCTGCAGTGGGAGGTGGTGGGTAGTTCTGGTGGGATAAAGCTGGGAACACGTGGGAGGAAGCCAACAGAATTGGGTATAAGAGCTCCCAATCTTGTAAATAAACAATTATGTACTTTTTTTTTTTCCTTGCAAATTAGCATCATTTATTCAATAGTATCTAATGGCTCCTTTGAGAACATTACCGTCTATTATGTCAAGGCCCCTACTTAGTGTATTTTTAGTTTGCGGATCATTGACCCACTCGAATCCAACGGCGCCGTTAAAGCATCCGCACACAGCAAGGGTCCGCGGGTGGGGGGCAGCCAGGGGAGCCGGGGTCCCGCAGGGTTCGTCTCACCTGCCGCAACTCCACTGCAACGGTTCCTAGGGAAAGGGGCTGTTCATACCCAGCAATTCCAGCTGTTGATAATAAAGAGGTTAAAGTGAGATTTTTTACTGTTATTACACATTTCTAGGCTAATGCTATTTACTTTTGTATGCAGTAAAATTTGGGGTTTTTTTTAAAGGCAAGTGCTTTATGAGAGAGGTGATTATTGTGCACATGAGGCTGTGGAGAACCTCAGAGCTCTATTATGTTTCAGGAAGGTAGGCAGGACAGTAAATCAACGTGTCAAGGAAAAAACTCAGATTATTATCTATCTAATCTGCCTCTGCTGTCTTCATCCCTCCATATCTGAACACCTGAAAGCTATTATTAATGTACTATTTATTACTGTGCTTATATGCTTCTATTACCAGCATGGTAACTTTCCCATTTATCCTCAGCCATGATATTAGAGCACAATACATCTGTTATAATTGTCTGCACCGTGCACATATGCATACCTGTTAGATGCACTAAGTTGTACCTGATGTGGAGGTAACGCTTTTCCTTTGCAAACACCTGTGCAACCAGCAATAATATGATCATATGGGTACTGCTAGCAATATAACCTGGGTTATTTGCTATCTAAAGCAAACTGCATTAACCTGGCATTATGTGTGCCCAGGATACATACCAAGCCCACAGGATGTGTGAGGAGCCTGGACCAAAGGTAGGGTGTTGTGTCCTGAGAAGCCCACTCCTGAAAGAGCTGCTCATCTCTATGTTTAACATGCAGAAGTACAGCAAGCCAAAACTCAGCATTTTGTCCTTGGAACAACTCCCACCCACAGGGCACCTGGAGGGTTTTGGTTTTACTCAAATTGAGCCGTACAACCCAAATGTCCCCTGGTTAGCCTGTCAGAGAGGGTGGCATGAAGCTGGTGGGCTGGTGATGCTGGAGCTGGCAACATGATGGGAGCTACGTACAGGTGGCGGAGACTGACCTAATCTGGCTGGTTGTCTTGCTGTAGTTGCTCTCACATGAACGAGCCTTGCTGGCCTGGAATAACTCCAATGTGACAAGGGTGCCAACAGGCACAGTCTGGTGAAGCTTGGCATGTCATCCTAAGAAACGATCACTTCCAGATGTTTGCTCCTCCTCTTTGCCATACGTTATCTGGCGTTTTAGGTTAAAGACCCCTTCGTCAACAACTGAGGTTAAAATGGTGGATTTTGTAGTGAGGTAGCTGTGACATTGGCATGTGCTTCCTTTTGACAGAGGGTAATCCCCAAACAAACAGACAGCTGGAGACAGTAATTTCTTACATTGCCACAGTAAGATCTACCAAAGCTTATCTTTCTGTGCCCTAAACTGTGGCCATGAATCCCGTCCCATCAGAAGGGCTCTCAGCATCCCTGCCCTGTGTGCCAGAGGGAGCAGGAAAGCCAGTGGTGGGGAGGGAGTGGGGTTTGGGGTCGCTGCGCTCGTGCCTGCGGTGCAGGGGAAGAACAGAGATGCCTCAGCTTCACTAGGGAAATGCATGGGTTTAAGGACATTAGAAGTTTACCACGTTATCAGCTTAAGATAAAATCAGCATCTCCAGCTATGACAGGATTGATATTTAATTCCAGGTAGTTGAACAACCACATTTTCCTGATATAGGCTAAGAGACAGAGGTCTCGTGCTATCCAAAGGCAAGTTTCAGAGCAGCTGATTGTGGTGGCAGACACCCCATCTCCTTTTCCATCTGTGCATTCGCCTGCCCCAGGTTTTGCCCTTTGGTAGTGCTGATGCAGTTCCTTGTGGGGTCAGCTGTAAATCAGATCTTGAAGGTAATCTAGATGAAAAATAACTCTTTGGATGGTTTACTTGTAAACTGGTTCAATTCAGTGATCTGTTTTCCAGCACAGCCACAGGTTATGCCTTCAAAATATGAAATATTTGGCTTTTAAATTATTCCCATATGACTTGTTTCCAATATGACACAAGTATTTGTGCAACCTTGCCGTGAGCTGGCATAGGGAACTGGTCTGACTTCAGAACAAAAAGTAAACTAAAAATCACTTTTTTGCAAGGTTTTTTTTAAAGCCAGGCCAGCTCTCTGATGTGACTTTGAACATGGCCCCATATCCATTTGCAGCAGGAACCAGCAGCAGGTAGAAATATCCTCAGTTGCTACTGGGGCTGAATGCTGGGTTCTCCAAAACCCCGTCCTCCCTGGCACAGTGAAGAGGGTGCCAGTCTGTGGCAGAAATATGGAGCCAGTGGTAAGGAGGGAACTTCTCAAGTCCATTTTACCACCAACACACGGATACTACAGAAGCGTACAAAAAAGCAGGAGTGCACAGCTGTCCAGTATGATGAACTGGTCTGACGTTTGGAGGCGCATTCGACGCTGTCTCTGCCTGCCACATTTCTGTGGTGCTGTGCACGGATCCAAGCACAGTTCAGCTCCACATTACGATGATCGTTGTTGTTGTTGTTGTTGTTGTTCTTCTTCTTCTTATCATCATCATCATCATCATCATCATCATCATCATCATCATCATCATCATCATCATCTATTTAGTGCTACAGGGGTAATGATAAGGTGAAGACAAATTAGCTAAAGCTGTAAAGTTAATGGTTATAAACTATAAGTACATTATATCACAGCACAAGCACTTTCATCCATGAGTTTAAGGCAACTCAGCTTATGTGCTGTAGTTTTACAGATTTATTTAATTTTCCATAACTTACTTTAGTACTTCACTGGCATAGTTTACCAAACGTAAATTATCTGTCTGAAGAAGGGACTTGTTTCGCTTTTTGTTCTGTGTTTGGACATGACCTTCCACAGTGAGGCCTTGGATCCTCACTGGGTTCACATGCTCTACCACAATATAAATAATAAATCCACTGTGAAACCTTTGACCACTTGATGTTGGAATGAAGTGAAAACATGACCCAGTCTTTTTTAAGTGCTTCACTTTCCAGGGAGCAGAAGTGCTGTTTTCTCTGTTTAGAAAGGTCTCTCGCATTTATGCAGTATGGCAATCAAATGTAATTTAAATGACCAGCTATTAATACTACTAATTCTTTTTCTTCTCCTTCTCCCTCCCCAGATCTCCGGAAAACTTTTGAGCAGGAGCCCTTGGGGAAAGAAGTGTCCCTGGAGCAAGAGGTCCTGCTCCAGTGCCGTCCCCCTGAAGGCATCCCAGTAGCCGAGGTGAGCAGCAACAGCAGTGTGCTGGCACTTGGACATCCTAACTAAGGCCTGATCGGTGGCTAATGGTGCAGAGAGGTAGGGCATGGCATGATGAATGGGTGTAATGGAGAGCTGACTGACTGCTGCTCGTAGACAAGATTGATCGGGAACTGATTAATGGCTTTGGATTATGGTGCCTTGCTGGGCAGAGCTGCAGACGGTTTGGTTTCAGTTTTTTCTTCCCTTTCAAAAATCACAGGTATATCTGGCATCCAAGGGACACATAGCTGGTGGAGCATATTAATACCAGCCTACTATCTTCCCTTTTCCTTTTAAAGAAAAAAAGATTTTGCTTATCCCGAGAGGCATCTTTCAAACATAGTATAAAGGCGTTTTCATGTTTAGTTTGCCAGATTATATTTCCCTCACATGTTTGTGCCTGTACTCATGCGTGCACCAGCAGGCCAGCTCAGCACAAGAGAATGTACCGTGGTCCAATACAGGCTCCCAGGTGAAGCAGCATGAGGTGAGGGCAAGTAGGGGATGTGTCAGCCTAATAATCCATCTTCAGGGGCTTATCTGGTTTTCCTACTGGCATTTAAGTAAACCCAGAGCGGGTAGCCTGCCCTCCACCTGACAGGAGTGAGCCTGCCCTTCAGCAAAATCTGTGCCCACTGACAGCAGCGGGTGTCCCCGTGAGCAGGAGCTTACCTAAGTGCAGTGGTGGCTCCAGCTTCAGCCTCACTGCTCGCAGGAGGGGGGTCTCTGAGTCACAGGGGGGCCTCTGAAATCCTAAATCCACTGCAGCTGTTAAGAGAAAAATTGATTGTTAATGATGGTAATTCCCCTATCTGAATTCTCCTCGGTTTTTCTCTGCCACGCGCAGAAGAAACTGTTGCCAATTTGCATTAGGATAACTTAGACTGTCATGGCTAAGTAGCAAAGTGGTTGTCACTCAGCACTGATGACTGATTTCTCAGGAGATGAAGCTTAAAGTGTTACTTCCCCATCTAACCCAAGTTTAAATTTAATCAGAATTGCAGAAATGTGTCCACAAACATCAGAAGGAATAATTAGCATAGAAGATTTTTCCCGTTTTCTTTTTCCATAGGCTGTTTTCTTTTCCCGTTAAGAAGATACCTAAAACTGTAAAGAGCATTTAGGTCTGCCGAGCCAGCTCGCTGACAACTGTAATATTAATCAGCTGGCTTTCCTCAGGAACTTAGCAGCAATTTTTTATTTTCCTTTCTGATGCTTCTTTGCATCAAATCAACTTGCCATGTGCCATGACAGGAGTGTTTGCAACGGGATATGTTGTTCAGGCGGTGCAGGGTAGTACTGGGGAACTTCATTACCTTTGCCAGAAACAGAGATTGATGATGACGGGTAGTTTGTTTGAACGCAGTGTTACAAGCACCTCTGAAATTTCAGCAGCCAGTCTGGTTATTCCCTTGGAAAGGTCTGTAATGCCCGGTCGGGCAACTGGGACCCAAACAGCATGATTTAACATGATGCATGGAAGTGATCTCTAAAAAGATCCTCTGTGAGCTGCTCTCATAATAATTGCACTTTTCCCTACCTTCTAGTATCCTGGCTCACTCTGTCAATAGCTGAGATTCATGACTGTACATTAACTGGTGCTGAATCTTATTTGTACCATGGTCGGGGCAGACACCAATTAACACTTGGCAGGCTCAGAAATCGTATACTCCCTGTCTGACATTCAAAAGAACCGTTCTCAATGTTGGGTTTTTTCCTCTTCTGACTTTTGAAGTCAGAAGGAGATCAAACACCCAGATTGGACAGCCGCCTAATACAGCCTCTTTGTAGATTCTTTCCAACACTATTAAAAGAACAAAGACCGGAACACTAATGAATATGAATACCTTAATGTGACACTTTATTACAGCCACTTGCTGAAGCTGGTAAGATAAATTTAAAAAAATGGAAAGATGAAACGTAACTTGGTGGGTTGAAGGATTACATGATTATTTTAATTTAGAGATGAATGAGTTCCTTGTTTAAGACTTTGTTTATTTGTTCGGAGAAGTTTCTGATATGATGGTACAGATAACTAAGTAAGAAAGGACTTGGGAGAAGGCAGGCAGCGGGCTGAGGCTGTTTTCCATCTTGCTGAAAGACTGCATTGATTCCAAGTAGAGTAGGGTAATGCGTGTGCTGCAGCTGTGAGCAGCATTTCCAAATACTTTGGTGAGCATGTACCTCACACTTCTCCCACTCTGGGCACTGTGTTTTGTTTTGGTTTTTTTGACACTTACTAGCTTCTGAAGTAGCCACTGGATCTAACATGAAAACAGAGGAAGAAAAGCTTACGCTGTGAAACTGTATAAAATACACGTTCAGTGTAATGTAATGCTGGACTCCAGAGTCCCAGCACCTTCCCCTTGCTTTTTCTCTTTGATTTCATTCTCCTCCTTCAATTTGTTTTTTTCCTGGTATTTCAAAGCAATGGGAACAACCACGCCCCGGGATGTATTCTGTCCTCTTTTCAGTAGCTGGGGAATTTAGTCTTATAATTCCCAGCATATTTAATTGCAATTAGCTGTGTCAAGCTCTTACAGGTCAATGCTAGAGCAGATCTTATTATTACTGAAAAGCTGAACCACACAGCAGCATACAGCTGCTCCGGAGGGCAAGAAGGACAAGACAGAGATGGGCAAGCGGATCTTTTAAGGCAGCACTTACCAGTCCCCTGGATCCACTAGGACATGACGAGCATTAGAGTAGGCTCAGATCACAGCCACTAGAAAAAAAATGCCCAAGATCCAAATAGAAGAAGGTGTGTTAAAATACACCAGCCTCATGGCCTGAGGTCAAATCAAAGTACATATTGCTTGTTCACTTGGGACAAAGTGAGGAACTGAGGGTTTGCTTGGTCTCTGGGAAAACCAGATCAGCTTCTCTGTGGCCATATACCCCTGCCTACCAGCCCTGTCCTGACCAGCGTCGGTGCCAGCTGCACCGTGGCATGCCTCCCCACTCCCAGTTTTATAGCCAATATCAAGCTGAATCTACCTACAGGTTCTGAAGCTCCCGGGTAAATGTTTCCTCTTTTCCAATGCATGTCCCAGACAGCAGCAGAAGGACCAGCGTAGGTGCTGTTGCACTGAGGTTTCCGCACATAGCTGAGGGGTGAAGGGGCAAACTCACGTATTCCTGCTATGAAAAAAAAAAGAAAAAGGAATGTACATAAAAATAAACAACACCCTGCCCTAGCTCCATGCTTCCCTGCCTTCTGCTTTTCCTCAATGGGGAGAAATAGGATAGGTGGTGAGATAAGCAGCCTGACCTGCCAGACTCGGTGGGAGCTGCCGGTGCTCAGCGGAAATCAGACAGTTGCAGCTCCCCGGTGTCAACAGAAACATCCATTTCAATTCCACTCTCTTCTGTGTGTGCATTTTTTTCAAATCTAACTTGAGAAGGCAAGAAGGATCCCATTCTGTGACGCTCCAACAGTAATGGCAGAGTTATTAGCAATTAACCCCTTAGCTCATTTAATTTGTTCTTTGAAAGATGCCAGCATCATATTGCACATGATAAAATATACTTAGAGACACCGAGTCACATCACATTAGCTCATTGCAATAGGTTATAGATCAAAAACATCAGTGAGATGTAAGATTGGTTAATACTCCATAAGCTGCCAGACGAACTTTTACATTGAAATGTATGATTTGCAGCACCTTTAACAGGGGGATAATTGCTTCTTTAATTATAATTGAGGTGTTGCACAGAGTAGTTTAATTGCAGAACAGGGTGTAACGTACAGTTTGGTGACCCAGTTGGGTTTCAAACTGGATGTGATATTTATCCATGTTCATGGCTTTAATTAGGAACTAGAGCAAGGGGAAAAGCATCCCTGAGTCAAGAAGCAGAAGAGGGTGTTTTGCCGAGTCAAGATGACTGTGACACAGGCTTTATTCAGCTGCTCTTGCATGGGCAAAAGCTGGTGGAAGCTGGGGACTTCTCCAAATAGGCAGCATCAGGTGGCTGCTCCATCTAATTGATTATTAATATGACTGCTGTTTGCTTTGTTTCATGAGAGCTACTTATGTTTTGCAGCAGTTATCCCTTAATTGGGAGTTCATGTGTATGCATTTCCATGCAGGTGTGTGTTGCCGAGGCAGTGTTTTATATTCCCTGCAGGAAAGTAAGCTCTAAGAGAGGCGAGTAGAGGAGCTTGTGGCCACAAATACTGATTAGCTGGGAAGTGACACTGTTCTTTGCAGTGTCTTGCAACATACAGCAGAACTGCCTTGAGGTGTCAATGGGAGGAAGAGTGCGGAGGAGGAGGCTGGTTTGTGTGCAGGAGCACAGCCCAAAATGAATGAGGACTGCTCATTCATTTTGCCCTGGAGAGCCATTGGGTAAAGTCTGGCAATGCAGGCCAAAAGTACAGGATAAAGTTCCCCGTAATTGTCAGTGTCTTGTCCCATACATTTCTGTTCCTTTTTACATAATTTTTACACCCCAGTCCACTGGTGGGTGGTCAGGACACTCTCTGGAGAAGCATGAGAGGTAGGTTACAACCCCCTGCTTGAGGACAGGCTTGCATTTGGGTCTTGTGCTTTCCTGAGAAATATGCTGACTACTAGGTTATTAGGTGGTCTTATTGTTACATTTTCTACCAGTTCATTTCCACAGTGCAGGAAGCCATGCTGAGATGGGTCTTCTTGCAGGACCAAGTTTTTTGAGACCTGAATTTTCTATGGGATCTACCGCTATACTTTTCCTTTCCAGTGCAGTTCCATTGATGCCAGTGTAAGTGAGGGCAGAGTGTGCTCCTAAGTGAATCAAGTTGGTGTATGATTAGATTTCACCACAGGCAAGGATGACATGTTGGACTGGAGAACAGTTGGGTTTCTAGTTCCTCCATAAAATATTACAATGGGAGGTTTCCTGCAAGAGCATTGGCATGAACCCTGCTAGCTTATTCTCTCTACAGCTTGCTTTTTGTGGCAAAAGTGGCTCTGGGATGCTGGTTTAGCTAACACAGACTA